ATGATGCACACAAATGAATGTCTTTGCATAGTCAAAGAAACACAGGTAAACATTTTTCTGGTATTCTTTGCTTTCAGCCAAGACCCATCTAACATCAGCAATGATATTCCTCATCCCATGCCCTCTTCTGAATCTGACTTGAATTTCTGGCAATTCACTATTGATATACTGCTGTAACCATTTTTGCACTATCGTTAGCTAAATTTACTTGCATATGATATGAATTCCCACATTCTGTTGGATCACCTTACTTTGGAATGTGCATCAATATGGATCTCTTTCAGTTGGTTGGCCATGCAACTGTCTCCCAAATTTCTTGGCATAGAAGAGTACGCACTTCCAAGGTTGCATCCATTTGTTGAAACATCTCAGTTGGTATTCTTTCAGTTTCTATAGTTTTTTGCCAATACCTTCAGTGCAGCTGGACTTCTTCCTTCAATCAGTTCTTGATCATATGCTACCTCCTGAAATGGTTGAACATCAACCAATTCTTTTTGGTACAGTGACTCTGTATTCCATCCATCTTCTTTTGATGCTTCCTATGTTGTTCAGTATTTTTGCCCACAGAATCCTTTGATATTGCAACTCAAGTCTTGGATTTTCTTCTTCATTTCTTTATGCTTGAGAAATGCCAAGCATGTTCTTGTCTTTCGGTTTCTAGCTCCATGTCTTTGTACATTTCATTATATTATCATTCGTTATATGTATATATGGGAGCTCTAGTAGCATAGTGCCTAAGGCACTTGACTGCTAACCAGAAGACTGGCAGTTCAAACCCACCAGCCACTCCTCAGGAGGAATGTTGGGCAACCTACTTCCGTAGTGATACTGCCTCAGAAACCCAAGGAGGGGTCGCTATGAGTTAGGTCTGACTCGACAGCAAATAACAACAATAACATATGTATATATACACACACACATATATGTTCACTATAATTTGTTTTCTCAAGCCACTCTTTGAAATCTTCTGTTCAGATCTTTTATGTCATCATTTCTTTCATTCACTTTAGCTACTCAACATTCAAGAGCAACTTTTAGAGTCTCTTCTGACATCCATTTTGATCTTTTCTTTCTTTCTTGTCTTTTTAATAACCTTTTGGTCCTTCATGCATGATGTCCTTGATGTCATCACACAATTTAGCTGGTCTTCAGTCATTAGTGTTCAATGGGTCAAATATTTCTTGAGACAGTCTCTAAATTCAAGTGGGATACACACAAGGTCATATGCTGGCTTTTATGGATTTGTTTTAATTTTCTTCAGCTTCAACTTAAACATGCATATGAGCATGCCACAGGAAATGAAGTCTTCAAAGCTTTACTCCATCTACATCATTAAAGCTGATTCTCCTTTGAGGAGGCAGCTCTTCCCCAGTCGTATTTTGAATGCCTTCCAACTTGAAGGACTCATCTTCTGGCACTGTATCAGATAGTGCCCTGCTACTCATTAGCTTTTCACTGGCTGATTTTTTCAGAAGTTCATCACCAGGTTCTTCTTCCTAACTTGTTTTAGTCTGGAAACTTGTCCACCATGGATGACCCTGCTGGTATTTTAAATACTGGTAACACAGTTTCCGGCATCACAGCAACATACAAGCCAACACAGTACAACAAACTGACAAGTGGTGGTATATACAGGTGATATATAGCTATATAGATGATATATAGATATATAGAGATATGTTGTTGTTGTTGTTGTTGTTCTTGTATGTGCCATGGAGTCGGCCCCAACTCACAGCGACCCCTCCTTGGGCTTCGGGCTTCCAATGCCATATAACTACGGAAGTAGATTGCCCAACCTTCCTTCCGAGAAGTGGCTGGTGGGTTTGAACCACTAGCCTTCTGGTTAGCAGTCAAGTGCCTTAGGCACTACACTACCCCATCCCTAGTGGCACCATGGTTAAACACTCAACTGCTAAGAGAAAGATCAGTGGTTCAAGACTTTTGAGACTTGGCTGCTTCCTACCATAAAGATTACAGCCTAGGATGCAACTATTGGTCTCCTCTTGTCTGGAGCAAAGAATAGTGAAGAAAATCAAAGTCATTTGGAAACAGTTAGTCCAAAGATATGAGGGACCATGAGGACCTCAGCCTTCATGAGCCTGAGACCAGAAGAACTAGATGGTACCCAGTTACCAATGCCTACCACTCAGAAAGGGATCAAAATTGGAGATCCTGGATAGAGTAGGAGGAAAAATGTGGAACAAAATTCAAAAACACAAAAATGACCAGAATTACTGGTCAGATAGAAACTGGTGGAACTCCTAAGACTAGGACCCCAGGTTATCCTTTGGGCCTGGAAATGGACTCACTTCCATGCATTAGCTCTCAATGCAACAGCAGAAAGACGTACAAGCAGAACATCTACCCCAGGGAGATGCACCCATCTACCCTAGGGAGATACACCCCTTAGATCAATCAACCATGAGACAGAAGGACAGCATTCACATAGAGGGAAAACTGGACAGACAGGAAGGCTTAGATAGGAAGGGCACAGGGAAGGGGTAGTCACAGGGGAGGGGATGAGAGGAGAACTTTTTATGGTTGGTGATTGGGGTGTGGAATCAAATGTGCATTAACTATATTAACTATTGAACATTAAACAAATCTGCTTTGTAAATTTGCACCCAAACTCTATGGGGCAGTTCTGCTATATCATATAGGGTTGCTACGAGTCAGAATCAACTCAACAGCACACAACAACAATCTTACAGAAGCAGATCCTTCTCCCCTGGAGCCACTGGATACATTCAAACAATCAACCTTTCACTTACAGATGAGCACTGAACCATTTTGCTACCAGACTCTAAACAGTAATTCACTTTTCTCCCCTAAGCTCTGCATTTTATATTTCTAGTTGGCATCTTCAACTCAATTTCTAATAGACATCCATATACAACACATACAAAGTTAAAATCCACCCCAGACCTGCTCCATCTCAGATTATGGCAGCTCCTTTCTTTCAGTTATGCAGGCCAAACACTCAGTAGCAAATTATATTCAGCATCCTACCATGTTCACTCCCTCCACTGCTTGCCTCTGTGTTTTAAGCCACTATCGGTTCTTAACAGGTCTAACTGCACCAAGCCTTGCTCCTACATTCTGTTCGCAGCATAGCAACCAGGATGCCTCTTTTAAAAGGAAAATGTTATCCAGTCACCCCTCTGCTTAAACGTTGTAGTGGCATTATATTTCAGAGCCCGACGTAAGTCCTTACAATGGACTGCAAGACCCTATATAATTTTCATGCCCCGCTTATCTCTAAATTCTCACCTCCCACTCCTTCCACTTTTTCTCTCCTCTGTAGCTGCACTGAACTCTTCCTGTTTCCCTGCACACTAGGCATCTCCCACTTTAGTATCTTCATACTATATCTAGTTCCTCTGTCTGGAAGGTGTTTTCCTAGATATCATCTTGGAAAAAATTTGGCCAACTTTCTCATCTCCTCCAAATTTTGATCAAATTGTACCCTCTGAAAAGACGAACTCTGACCACCTCTAACACAGAACTTCTGCTTCCCCATTTCCTGCTTTCCTTTTGTGTTCCCACAGTATTTACTCTAACATGATATAATCTATTCTCTTTGTATGTTTATGATTTATTATCTATCTCTCTCCTGTTAGAATGTAAGCTCCATGAGGGAAAGGATGTTTGTTTTGCTCAATAAAGCATCTCAAACATATAGTACAGTGCCTGCCCCATAGTAGGTGCTCTTTATCTATCTATCTATTTTGGTAAATGAATGAATCCCTTTATTCTGAACTTTGATTCAATAAACTGATGACAATGAGTGAGAATCCACCAGTAGAATGGAGTCCCTGTATTTCGTTTTAATGTTGGTGTGTGCCTACATGCCCTATTTCAGTTATACTCCACTTATCTCAGTATATACTTACCCGCCTCTTTCCATATATGAAGTCTAGATTCATTTTTAAATAAAAGTAATTTTCATCAGGCAGCATTTCCAGAGAAGAGAGGGGTTTGCTTGCCCTAAATTATGCCTTTGCATGCATAATACAAACTACATAACAAACTAATTTGGGAAAATTCACTGCCACTGGGGAAGGTCACCTTGCTAAGAAGCCTCCTACCCATTGTTTTCTCTGCTTCTGGCATCCACTGTGGTTTTCACTTCCATAGAGCCCAAAGGGAGATGCGAAGAACCAAAATTACTTTATATATGAGCTGTTCATTTTCCTACTCAACTGTTAAATTGATTCCAGATCCAAAATTGGCAGGAATGTCACTTACATGACCCTAGAGTGATTCATAGAATCTCATCTGAGATAAAACATACCTTGACAAACACTCAAATAATGTGCTTGGGATATATCTAGAAAATAGCCATGATGTCAACAGTCAAGTTTTGAAACACACATGTGACATGAGTATTAAAATATCTCTATGGACAAGATCAGATTTTTATGGCCATCAGTAAGAGAGAATATGTGCGACTAAAAAGTAAAAATCCTGTTTCCTTCTTGTCAAAGGAGTCTATGTCATTTTGTGTCAAGATTATTGAGTTCTTTGCCAGTGATTTTCCTGGGACATTAGGAAATATTTTCCTATGCCTAAGATGGTATATTTTCAACTTTTCTAATTCGTGTGAAGGATGTGATCAAACCAGAGAAAATGTAGGATGAGAATCAGGTCTAAATAGTTGAGCCTCAGGTCCAACATAGCAGAAGAAACTCAAATGTTCATTTAAAATGCATGCTAAAGTGTAAGAAATTCACTTACTATGATACCTGTATCATTAATAAGAAAATGAAATTTTTAATTCATATACTTCATGTCTTCCAAAATTATTTTCAAAAAATGTCTTGACATTTTAATAAATGTAAAGTGTAAGAAATATCATTTTCATTCTAGAAGAATTTCAGATGTAGAGCTAGATAAACTATTTAAGAAAGCATGGAGAATGTCTTTAAATGTCTCTCCTATTTAGAAGAAAAATAAGCTTTTCTAATGTATAAATTTCTGGATTTGATTACTTTCCACAGATACAACATACTCAGGGGAAATTGGCACCAAGAAAAAGGTGAAAAGACTGTTAAGCTTTCAAAGATACTTCCATGCATCAAGGCTGCTTCGTGGAATTATACCACAAGCCCCTCTCCACCTGCTGGATGAAGACTATCTGGGACAAGCGAGGGTGAGCTCGTTACACATTTGTCTCCTCATAGCAGGACAGCACCCAAGGGTATGAGCCCCAAACACCTGGATGTGAATCCTATTTCTGCCACAAAGGACTCTGTGACCCTTAGCTAGGTACTCAACAAGTCTGGACTCCCTCCTCACAATATAAAGTCAAGTTAATAGAAATGCCCACCTCTGAGGGTTCATAACAGGATAAATGGGGAAAAGCATACTTACATGCTTAATATACTCAGGCCTAGCACATTCTACCTGTTTTCATTTTTATACACATGCAAAACACATTTGCACAAGACTAAGTAACATAGAATGTTGGACTGGTAATCACCAATGAGAGCACAACTAAAAAAAAATTTTAAGTCATTGAATGATCTCAGTACTCATTAGACTGAAATCACCCAATAATTTCCAACTATTTTACTTTGGGCCATTAATACAGTGCATTGTCCATTTTACAAATTTTAAGTCATTCTAATAATTGTTACTAATTTTATAATTATTTGAGCAATACAGAGATCTGGATGAGGGTGGAAATTAATGTGTGATCATGTAAAAGTTTTCTTGTTATCTCTAGCCCAAACAGACAAAGGAATTAAATTTCAGGAATAAACTGCCTCAGTTTAAACAGAAGTCAAAGTTAGTATCTTACAGTTTATTTGCTAAGTGATATCATACTATCTAAATACTA